TATAATAATAATAATAATAATAATAATAATAATAATATAAATACCTCGTTCAATAGTCATATTCATCGTCTTGGATATAAATTCCTGTAAAAGATTTATTGTCAAATATTTATTTAAAATCAATGAACAATTTTCGTAACAGGTATGTATTGTATGATAATACTTTTATTGTCTTTTAAACGTCGTGACAAATTTTCCGATAAATATCTGTTGTTCTATTTTTTTTGTTTTTCTTTTTTTTTTTTTTCAATATATTTATATATGATAATATATTAAAAAATATTTCAATTCGATATTAAAAATGATACATCGTAAACGCATAATCATGAAGGTTTTTTGTTTTGTTTTAAAAGTAACTTGTAGAATTAACGATATTTCATTTTTATTAATAAATTATAATCGCTCTTATCAGCTTATTCTATCCTACAGCGAGGGTGTGTGGTGTATGTGTATATCTATATTTATATATATATATATATCTATGTTTTATTTTTTTGTATTTTATTTGATCTATTCTTTTCTTTTTTTTATACATCATTTCCTTTTCAAGAAACATTTGCAAAATATTTATCGAACTGATTTAGGAAAATTCGATTTAGCAATTAATTATCGTAGGAATAATAATTTATAATAATTATTTGTTGCACGCGAGTGAGAACATTTTGTCGAAGAAATACAAACAAAAATGTCACATTAGAGAAAAGATTATTATGTAAGTTCATTTTTTTGTTTCTTTTCTTACAACGCAGGATTAGAAATAGTGTTTTATTGAATACGTATAAATCTATTTTTATATGTGTATGTGTGTGTGTGTGTATATATATATATATTTATTTATTTTTGACAATAACAGCATCTCTCATTCTTATGCATATGATCGAACAATTAACAATTAGACGTGGATATTTTTCGGCTGCGAGGCAAGATTTAAAAACGTAACAATTATACATATGTATGTGTATGTGTGTATGTGTGCTGTATTATCATATAATATTAAATTTACAATAATTGATTGATTGAGATTGATTGATTGATTGATTGATTGTTTGATTGATCAAATTCGCCGATTATTACAAAAAATGTTCCATTATACAATTAAACACGCAAGTGTTAATATATTTATTTCTGATCGCAATTTAATATTAATAATAGCCCCTTTTTGTTGTTATCTTTTTTTTCGTTTAAAACGAAGAAACGTCATTCAATAAAAATATAATAGTAATAATAATAATAATATTTCTATACATTATCATATTTAAATATTTCATTTTTTTGTTGTTGTTGTTTTACTTTCTTCTTCGTAATAGTACGTATTCATTTTACGTGAAACACTACAACAACATTAACAACAATAACAACAACAATAATTATAATAATGATAATAATAACAACAACCAAAATATTAGATTCGTATCCAGCGCGAATCCAACATCGAAATGAATTTAAATTTTCATTGTTAATAATATAATATTCGATGAAAATAAACAATTGTGTTTCTTTCCAATAGGAATATAACAATTAAAAATTAATCTCTCCCCTATTTTTTTTATCCCTTTCCTTTTGATGCGCGAATAAAACTTGCATTTTTTATTTTCTTTTTATTATTATATGTTTTTGTTGATATTTTTATTATGATATGACTTTTTTTAATTGATGAGATGATCCAAACAAGGATGCCCCATATACTTCTAAAATTCCTACTGACTAACATCATGTTTTTTTTTCTTTTTTTTTTTTTTATACTAATTCTAATTATCAATAACATTTGCACACCTCCTCTTCCTACTGGTCAATTAAAACCAGTTAAATTATTTATAACAATGATATGACTCGTGATCGAATTAAATACGATATTTGAATTACACATACGTGTATTACATACACACTACGCGTAATAAATACACGTAAACATTACGAATAATCCTACGATAATTATCTTAAAAATATTAATTTTTTCCTAACAAACGATCGATTAAAATGATATGATTCTTATTACTAATACAACATAGGTAGGCTTAAAACCATTAATTAACAATACTGCTTCATTATTTTTTTCTCTCTCCCCCTTTACGATAATACACTAGTACAAAATTTGTTTATAATATTCGACGTTTCTTCGTATTTATTTATTTAACAAGCAAACGCATTTGGGGAAAAAAGAAGAAACAAACAAAAAAAATCTAAAAGATATAATTAAAAAGCTGACTATATTTTCTTTTTTTTTTCCCCTCCGGATTTGTACAACACGTCAGAGCATTTAAACAAAACAAAAAAATAAAGAAATAAAAAGTTTCATAAAAATAAAAAAAAAAAACATATATATATTATATACAATTGAAAAAGCTGACTTTTCTCTTATTTACAACATGTAAAAATGCATTTATAAAAATAAAATAATATAAAATAAAATCAAAATATGAATAAAAATAATATTTAAAAGCTGACAATATATAAATAATAGATTAGAGCAAATAGATATTAGATGCGATCGGAAATGAGCGTTTTTGTTGTTGTTACATTAACATATAGCGATAGAAGAATTATTTTGGTGTTAATAGTAGTAGTAATAGTGGTGTTAATAGAGTAATAGTAGTAGTAGTAGTACTGGCGTGTGTATATATACATAATAATATAATAATAATAAAAATAAGAAGAGATAGTTAATATTATAATAGAAGAAATAGATATTATAATATAAAGAATATAACGAAGTAGTGAACAACGAAGATAATTAAATATATATAGGGTGAACCAGAAATTCGTGCGTTTATCGTGTTGAAACTTTTTGTTTTTTTGGTAAAATTTACCTTTGGAAGTATTAATTTACAAAACTACACGAATTCTTGTGGTCACACCCTAATAGTATATCATACATTATTATAAATAATAATAATAATAATAATAATAATAATAATAATATTATTATATAATTAGCCTCGCAGCCGCGCGTGCGACAATGAACAAATGACGCGACACGAGCCGCATGGCTTGCCAGAAAAACATCGGTGAATTCATCACCCAATGCAAGCACCGAAGCTTGTTTGGCAAAAGGCTCCGTTAAAGAAAGCCTCTCTGTGAGGACATGAGCGTTCAACTTGCACGAGTCATACATAATGCAAAACACAAAATAATTATAATAATAATATATTTTTCATTGGTTTTTTTTTTGTTTCTATCTCATTCCATATATAATTTTACCCCCAAATTCTATCCAAAGTAAAAAAGAAAAAAAAAAAAACAGAAATAAAAAAACATCGCGGTAGGTTTCCCCCCCCCCTGCTCCGAGCAATGGGGAAAAGGGTTAAAAAATAAATCCATCTAATTATCTGTCTATCTATCTATCTATCTATTTCGGCAATATTTTTTTGTTGGCAATGACTTCGAAGTAAGATGAAGGCCCACGCTGTGCTTTTTTTATTTTCACTTTTTACTCTCGTTTTTTTTTTTCCTCGACTTTTCTTTTTTCTTTTTGGCTTTTTTTTTTTTTTTCTTTTTCTTTTTATATATTTTTTTTTTTTTCTCATAAAATCTGCCTCGCATTGCATATTCCCGTCGGGGTTGGAAGGTTTCGTAGGTAATTTTTTTGTTTGTTGTTATTGTATCGTCGTTTAACTCGCCGAAAAGGACCAATCGTTGTTTCCCCGTTCGACATTTTTTTCTTTTCGTTTTTTTAAACCCAACCAGCCACCCCCACCCCCTCCCGCTCCCTACTGTTTCCCATAATTGTTGAAACACATTTTTCTTTGAAATTATTCGCGAGAATTCGAATTGAATGCGTGTTTGTATACGATGATAATATTTTTTGGAGCCCGATTGAAAATTTAATAAATATATTATACAACAACGATATTACGTTATTCTTTTTTTTTTTTTTAAATAAATTTAAATTGAAATTTCCCCATACACACGATTGGACAAGATATTTCTATAGAAACATTCATTCCATCGCGTAAAAGTATCACATATTAGATTCGATATGAAAAAAGAAATTTTACTTTGTTTTTCGCGATATATTAAAGATTGTTTTCTCATTTTCTTTTTTCTTAGATTTGTTTAACAATAAGTTAATTAACTTTTAGACGAGCAACGACGATGGAATTGGAATTATTCGAATCACACGCAAGAATAATAATAACTAATGACATTTGGGCATGCAGAGTGTCATCATGCAATATGTTATTGTGCTACTATTGCACACACACACGTTTAGTGATTTTTAGAAAAAATGTCGAGCGAGCGAACGACGGACAAGGAGTGAACACACTTCAATTTGATTTCAAAATCAATAAATCCAATTGATGTGTACATTTTATCGTATCGTCTCTCCCATGCACTCTAGAAAAATAATATCGCTTTTTCTTAGATTATGCAAAAAAAGACAAAAAAAAAAAAGAGAAAAAAGGTGCCCTTTTAACCTACGCCCAAAAACTCGACTATAACTAATGATATACTCGTGATTGATTATTACTTATTGCATGGTTTCGTGCATACGAGCGTGCTTTCGAAACATTATCCCATAATTTCTTTTTCATTTTATTTCATTAATCTCGGATCAAAATTAATATCAACATTTAATTTTTTTAATCCAAATATAATAATTTAACATGTAATAATTTAATCCAAAAAAAAAAAAAAAACCAATCAATCAAACTCGATAAATATATTTTTCATATGAAAAAAATCTATCGAAAAACCACAATGTGTTCACACATATAAAAATAAAATAGAAAAATAATCTTGTAAAAGTCAAATTCGAGAACAAAGATCAAAATGTAAAATACGAAGGATCGATTGTAATCGCGTGAAACAAGATTTTTTTTTTTCTTTTTTTTATCTAATACAAGATAAATTAATCATTTACAAAAACACACTCGTATTAGTTTATAAAATAAACCGAAAGGATAGATAGATTATTTAAATGTATGTTTGTGGTCGATAATCGTTGATCGTATCGAACGATCATCGTTCGTCATTCTAGTCGGTTGATACCAGGTGTTGTTGCCCAGGTACCAAATCTATGGGGAAACCCCCTATTGAATTTTGACATGCCGAACTAACTAACTAACATAACACCACCATGCGGCCTACGCGTTAATATATTCGCGAATATATTATACTCATCTATCATACGTTAACAAATATTTTCGGCATATTAAAAATAATAATAATAATATTTCTTTTTTTTTCTTTTCTTTTTTTCTTTTGTGGAGCATGTGAAGCACTTAGTAAGCTCAAGATGTAATACAAATAATGTCGAAAATGGGCCAGGGGTGAGAAGGGAGAGGCATCATAATTAGAATGAAAAATTTAGAAAGAGTGAGAGAGATTAGAAGAAGAAGAATAAGAAGACAAATTTTAAGAAAGAACAAAAGTGCACTCGGTGCGGGAAAATGTTAAAAGTGAGAAAAAGGTGATTAATTTAGTGAAAATTATTTTCAAGAAAAATAAAAACGGTGGTGTGCGATCTAACGAAAAGATTAATCCTAACATTTGATTGTGATAACAAAATAAAAAAAATCGTGACAGGATTTATAATCATTTTCTAATGATTTTCTGATCCACGATTTACCCAACTACCCAACCTCCACCCCCTCCCATCCCCCCTATTTCGCATTAACTTTTAATCTTATTCGCAATAACTCTTCTTTTTTTTACTAAGTTTCATTGTAAAACAATTGCAAATTGTTATAGATGTTTAAATTGTGTTAACATTTTATCCGATAGGATTCGTAAACTTCGTTTTGAATTTAATTATAATCCGCGTTAATTCAAAAAAAAAGAAAAAAAAAAAGAAACAACGATGATAATTAATTAACGTTATATCGATATTTTGCGTTCAACAAAAGCAGAACAAAAAAAGCTGCACAAAAGTTAATGCGTTATTTATCATTCGAAACTTACGTAAATTTGTTTTATTAATACGAGAAAAAGTATTTCTAAACGATAACAAATTTACTATTTTGTAATTTCCAAATTAAACGTATTCTATTCTCGATATCATTCGTTTTAAGTTGAAAAAAATGTTGCTAAGTAGAACACGATACACGCTTGATGAATACAGAAAAAAAAAAAAAATAGAAAGAAAGAAAGAAGTTAACAAAAAAAAAGAAACAAAAATGTATGGAAAGAAGAGAAACGATTAAGAAAACAAAATATATATATATATAGATATGTATATATGAAAAATGAAATCTACGAGAGAAATATTCGTTCTATTCTAAATTTCAAATAGTCAAATAGAGAAAGAGAGAGAGAAGGAAAATTTTTATGCAAAATGTTCTACATTCTACGTTTGAATTATTATCTTATTGTTGTGTGTTTTCTTTCTTTCTTTCTTTCTTTTTCATTCTCCCTTGAAAAGAGAGTGTAGAAGGGAATAATAATTTTTCTAAAAGTATTTAAGAAGAAAAAATAGGAAAGTTGAGTAATTAGGGGGAGTGGGACGTAAGGGTGGTCAAACTTTTTCAGTGATTTCTAATAATAATAATAATAAGTGGATCGAACAACGAGTCAGTGTTATACGACGTGACCATTGCAACGTTCTACAAAGCAAGCTTGGGCTCCTAAAATGTTCGAGCTTAGAAAGAATATTGTTGTTAGGAGTAAAAGGATTAGGGTGGGATTCGAACACGAGGTCGGGGATACACGATTGCACATATCCTCCTCACAGAAACACATGTGACCAGTGCCGGTACTTTCCATCATGCACACGTGGTCCACCATGAATAAGTTTATCTGTAGTTGTGATGTACAGGTCCTTCTAACGCTTTCGTATGCTGTAAATTTGAAAAAATATATTTATAAACATATATATATATTTATATATATATATTTATTAATATATTATATTTAATTTTTTTTAATAGGAATAATTTCTTATATATTTTTTTCTTCTATATATATACCTATATCATAAAACAATCGGTCAAAATCTATTAATATAATTTCTTTTTATTATTTTTGAGGGATGTTTTTAATTATTCGAAAAGTTCTTGTCGGTAATTAAGAAAAATCAATATATTTCTTTCTCTTTCTCTCATCTCGAGATATTTAATTTAAATATTTTATTTATAAATTCAGTAAACTTTGCAGAAAAGGTTTCGTTATATTAGATTTAATTGAAGTTCGTTGGTATGAGAGATAGATAGATAATTTATTTTTAATATCGTATTAAAATACGGATCATTTGATAATCAATTAATAGAGCGTTAGAAATATTCTAATACTCGTTCGAGTGTATTTAAATTATATCATGATTTTATCTACCGACTTAGATGTGGATCAAACAAACCTTTCTTCTCCCATGATACCTTTAACGATTTATTATACTTAATTATAAATAAAATTGAAATTATTTAATCTAAAATTTGGAAGATATAATTGAGAGGTCAGATTTTATTTTAAATTGTACAGAATTATTTTTTGGAAATAAAGTAATTGAAAAATTATGCAAATATCGTTGAACAACAACGATTAACCGAATTGAAATGAAATGAGGGGGGAAAAAAACTGAAATCACTCACGTGATTTTGCATTGCGGACCATTTTAACGCAACACCCGTTGCAAGTCATCAATGGTGGCTGATCTCTCGGTAATGCTGTGTAATTGAATGGATCCTTGCATCGTAGATCTGTCCAAGAATCGCATTCGTAGCAATAAACCGAGCGTGCTGCGAAAGATACAACATTCAACATTTGAATATCAAATATCACAGATTTAGCGCGTGCGACTTCTTCGATTAACGAACCGTAAACGATCGTTGCAAATGCAAATAGAAAAAAAAAAAAAAGAAAAAGAAGGAATTTAAATATAATACAAACAAACAAGCAAACAAAATCAACAAAAAAAAAATAGAAATCAAAATGAGATAACTAAAACGAAGAGATCGCACGCGAAATCACAAATTAAATGACCGATGATTTTCTTTTTCTTTTTTTTTTTTTCTTTTTTTTTTCGGCTACCCTTAAAACGTCCCTTTAACTTTATTTTTCTTTCCGAGAACAAACTCTCGCTATATTATATGTATATAAGTATATAATATTATATTTTTATAATTGGTTTTTCTTTTTTATTATTATTATTATTGTTATATTAATATTTATTAAATTTATTGTCGCAACGTGGACACACGCTGAACAAGAATGATACAAAACAATTACGTGCATTTCAATTTAAAGCAACATTATCATTATTATTATTATTAATCTTTTTAATGAGTTGTATAGGAAAAAAAATAAACAAAAATAATGAATTAATACAATTACAAATGAGACAAGATTGCATGAAAAAAAATTACTGCGACAGTGTTTTGAAAATGTTTCGAAGCATTGAAGCAAAATGAAAATTAATTAAATAAACAAATAAAGCAGGAGATACAAAATAATACTACGATAAAATGAATCAGCTGATAAAACAATGTTTTTTCTCGTTATTCGTTTTCATTCAAAATAAAACGAGAAAAAAAAGCAAATTTAATAATAAATCAATTAAAATATCGCGAATAAGATTCTCGTCCAGCGTGCTTGCTAAAACATATGCACTCCTATTATTATTATTATTATTATTATTAATATTATAAAATCTTCCTCCTCCTCCTCCTCCTCCTCCTCTTCTTCTTCTTCTTCTTCTTCTTCGATAAAATACTTTCATATAAAATATATCATATCAAAATGAAATAATTTTCTGCATTCTTTTTTTCGTGTTATTTTTTTTTTTTTTTAAATTCATTATCGGTAATCTTTAATATTATTATTTGTTTTTTTTTTTCTGGTTGTTGTTCTTTTTGGTTTATTTTTTTGTTTTTTTCCTTTTCATTAAATTCCACCGACTTATCGTAATAAAATGGGGGACATAAAAACCGGACGTATCGAGTTGAATTAGAAAACGTCCCCGTTGACGAAGAACGGTGACGAACGACGGTCATGTAACACCAAAGTAGCTGGCATTTAAAGTGGCATAATCACTCACTCTGGCACTCCGCATGAGAGACGTTGGCAACCGCGAGTACAATTGCCGCTGAAAACGAAAGATCGGTCACTGTTTTATTTAAAAAAAAAACCTATTCTGGCACGTTATCGAATTTGATGGCAATAACACGAGACGAATTAGAAACAGAAGTTGTTTTTTAAAGATAAATAGATTGAACAAAAAAAAAAAAGAAATAGATAATTGTAAAGACAGAATACTACTAACTACTACTACTACTACTACCCGATCAAAAGTTTGAAATTTTTTCCCTCATCGAATAATTCATATAAAAATCTATTTCTATTTCGATACCAATTTCGATATCTACGTTTATTCTATCAAGTATTTATATTTGTTTTTTTTTTTTTCTATTTGTCCTCCTGATTTTTTCAAACTTTTGACTTTTGGGATTAGTAGAGTGGATTTATTATATAGATAAGGATAAACAAATTGATAAAGTATTTAACGCAACGCAACGCAACGATGAACAACACGAACAATGCCACTACAAACACACCGCTGGCTGGTAGATAATTTAAAAAAAAAAAAATTCAAAAAGAAAAATAAAATTAAAATATAAAATAGATAATACTAACGCGTACGAGACTAAGAGCCCCCCCCCCACCCGTGTTGTAATTTGCAATTAACATAATATTATGCTGATATTAAAAAAAAACGAACAAAATTTATATCGTATAATATATATAATATAATATAATAAAACTACATATAATACACGCACGCTATACTATGAGATCATAGTTAAAAATCTAATATCCTCGTCGTGTGTGAACGATATATAATTACTATGTGCTCTCTATAACTATAATAAATTTACACTACGTTGTTCTAATATATGTATATATATATATATGTATATTAAAATTTTTTTTTTATTGTTACATTTTCTATTTTTTTTATTTTTTTAACTTTCTAACACTAATTCACGGCACTATGTGTGTCAACTACGATATCGTGCTAATTTTAATACCTTGCGACGAATTTTAGGAATAAAATTCAAACGTCGGACGTAAATTCCAAAATCTTAAGAAAAAAAGAAATATTACTTTTTTTATTTACAATCAATAATATGATTATAATTTATTCTTCAAACAGAGTACAATATATACGTCCGACGTACACGCACAACACACGTGTGTGTGTATGTGTGTGTGTATGTGCATGCGTGTGTTATGCATTTACATACCTAGAGCACGCGCGCAGTGATTGTACGCATGCCGATATTGGATTTCTAAAAGTAATTCGAATATTCAAGCTCTAATGCCTGAATGACAAAAAATTAAAGAAAAAATAAATAATAAAATTAAAAAGGAATAAATAAAAAATATAGAAAGAGAGAGACGGAATGTTTAATTGTAATCGAAATGAAAAGAAAATCAACTACGGTTGCTGGATATATATATATATATGTATAGGTTTTTTTATATATTATATAATAATAAGATATATTGATATAAATTATATCTACAATTTCTATTTGTATATACATATATATATATCTATGCGTTAAGAAAAAAAATTAACTTTTTCTACGATATATTTGTTCGTTCAATCATTGCGTTTTTTTCACGAACTCACCCAAATGGTGTGCTCGATCATCTCCAAAATAATCATTTAATATGATTATGTGTGTCGGCTCGTTATAATATATTTTTCTAATTTTATATATATAGATATAAATATATATTTGATCGTACGAAAAGTGTGGAAATTTGTTTTTTTCTTTTTTTTTTTATAGAAATTTTATTAATCGCATTTACCAATATCAAAACTTTATTCTAAACATTCAAATCAATCGACAATTTTAACAACAAACGATTGGATTTTAAAAATACGAACAAATCTTGTTATTATTATATAAATGAAATTAATTATCGTTGAATTAATGAAATTACTTTCCGGATAATTTGAAAATATTTTTCAAGGCATGTAAGTACGAAAATCGGTGTTAGCAATATATAATATATATATATATATATATATGTATTTTCAATTAATTTACGAGCTTCGAGCAATAATTAAATATAAAAAATACGTATTAAGAAAATATATATATATATATATATATGTATTTTCAATTAATTTACGAGCTTCGAGCAATAATTAAATATAAAAAATACGTATTAAGAAAATACAATATAAAAAAATAAATACAGAAAAAAATAAAATAAAATAGGCAAAGGGTCTAATTACGATCGAGATTTTCAATCCCTCAGTCTCAGCATAGTTTGATTATATTATATTTATTTTTCGGAAAAAGAAAAAAAGAACAAAAAAAAAATAAACAACGTGCATCGTTTTTATTCGCAAATTATTATTTATTATATAGACAAAATGTTGTCCTAAACTATTAAATCAATTTGATGATCGTTCGTATCATTGAAAAAACATTTAAAAAAAATATATATTGCAGAAAAAAATATAAATTTATTCGAAATAAACGATGCGCAATCTTCTCTTTTTTCAACTAATACACACATCATAATATATTTCTACTACAAAAGGAAACTTCATACGTACGGTATGTATGTGTATATGCTTATACGTGTATTGTATGGTTAATGTGACATACATTTTTCACGATAAATTAAAAAAAAAAAAATAGAAAAAAAAAAATAGAAACAACACATCATACTGTTTAAAAACGTCAAAATATCATATACATATGTAAAAATATGTTTAAAAGAAACAAATAACTTGGACGTTTTTGTATTATCAAATTTCGCATAGGAAAGATACGATATTATTTCTATATACGATTAACAAAAAAAAATATAGATATATATATATATAAAGGGAATATAGTTGGTAAAAATTATTCGAGAAAAAAAAATAGAAAAAAAAAAACAAAAAAAAGAGAATAAATTATTCGTTTATTCCAACACTCACCCACTGTAATTAAACGATTCGTCCACATTATTTCGATGAATTGTTTTTCTTTCTCGTTATACTCGATATATCATCATGCCGAAATCAATAATTTTTTCGTTTTTCTGATGACTGTCGGATGTACGATGATTGGGGTGTATCAATTAGAGATACGAAACTAAAAATAATTAAATTTATGTTATTAGAATTTTCTTTTCTTTTTTTATTCTTTCTTTTTGTGTGTGTGTGTGTGTGTGTGTTTTTATAAAAGAAATAAATTGTGAATAAAAATCGTATATAAGGTTGACACACAGAACAACGTTTTTCGTATAATCATAAAATCTCAATCGAAATATCGTCAGCCAAAATAATAATGTTATTACGTCGAGTAGTATTTTGTTAGAAAATTGCAAGAAGGATATTTTGTTTGTCTGTAAATGCAACCTTGATGCAACTCTCTGACCACGCATTTAATATATTTTACTCTTACGTTAAACTCAAATGAGAAATATAAAGACGGATTAGAAAGAGAAAGAGAAAGAGAAAGAGGAGAACGTGTGCCAATTGAAAGATGAAACGTGACAATATCTGATTCACCATTTTTTTGTTCTCCAACGTCATACTAAACACAGCGACGATATTTTTGTTTTAATCCAATTGAATATTTTATGAATCATCGTCAAACGTAAAATCCACGTTTTCGAACAACGTGAAATTATTTATCACACTATAATACCAAATTATATATATTTCTTTTTTTTTTTTTTTTTGTTTCTTTTTGTGCTCTTGTTGTTTTTATACCAAATGAAAAATAAATTGGCATGGATTACGAATGCATTACGTCATTGAGAAGATTTTGGCAACGTAACCGAATGCTTAGATCGAACGAAATGCACATCGAAACGAATTAATAATATTCACTTTCAAAGTTTCAAGTCGGACGAATGAAAATTCGTGTATAGAATAATTTATATATTCTGTTTTATTTCTTTTTTCTTTTTCTTTTCTATGGGTTTTTTCAAAGACTTTAACTTTGATCTTGAACTAGTTAAGAATGTACAATGCGACATATTTGCGATTAAAAATATCAATTATTTATAGTTCTGATCTTGAATTGAAATTTGTGATTTTGGAATGCAATCAAATATCAGAATTTGTATATCCCAAGAAATATCAAATGTCAGAGTTGAAATTATATATTAAAAAATTACGGATTGGTCATTCATTGATTGCAAATTGAATCGTTTAATATTATACAATAATAATTTCGTGAAAAATATTAAATAAATAAAAGATGTGTGTTATTAAAAAGAAAGGAAAAAGTTACCTCTGTAAATAGCAATCGAAGTGATGACTGCTTGAAGTATTATAAGAAAATCAATGAATCTTCTTCTTCTTCTTTTTCTTCCTCTTTTTTTATCAAATCGTCTTTAGATAACAACAATGAAGATAGAAGAATTTTAAACGAATAATTAGATCGTCCTTTTCCTCATCCACTGCTACGAAGCGCGAATTTCTCGATGCACCTCCTCGTGCAGCCTGTTGCAAACCACTCGTGTTTTCATCCTTCTTCCAAGGAACTCGTACATCGAACAATAATAACAATAACAACAATTCGGTCCTCTGTTTTTTATTTCTTTTTTTTATTTTCGTTAATCAAACTCGATCCGATCTGTGAGAAGAAACGTGTCAAAGTGGACAATGTGATATTGGTATATGGGGAAATTCAAATTCAAGTATTTTCTTTTTCTTTTAGAACAAAAAAAAAGTAACCTAATAATTTTAACAAATAATATCTTCACTTTAAATTAATACGAAACACGTGTATCGTAATAATACACGTGTTTCGATCGGTTATTAATTTTTCATTGTAATTCTTATTCTTTTTTATTTATTTTCTATTTTTTAATGATTATTATATATTTGATTTATGATCGAGAAAATAATTTAACAAATAATCGTATTAATAATTAGTATTCAAAAAATAGTATTCAAAAATTTTAAAATTAATCACAGTCATAATTCTTTATAAACAAATTGTCCTAGAACATTTTTCTCATTATAAAATAATTATTATGAAAAATGAATGAAATATTAATTTTGTAAATTGTTTGAATATACGAGCACCAGTATTTTCACGTTTATTTAATCACGAGGAAACAAATAAAATCATTTTTTCGTTCGATCGACGAACCTTTAGAAAAGTCGGTCAACTTAAAATATATATATAAATTACGTTTCCGCAAAAAAAAAAAAAAAAGAAAATTTCATAATACATAAACTCCAGCATGATTACTTCATATTACGATTATTACAAAAATCGTCTATGAAAATAAAATGGATGGAAAAAAAAGAATAATAAAAAGAACACAACTAGTTGAAAATAAATTGTTCATCAGATTTATTAACCGTCTATAATTCCCTTTGAGACTTATATATTAATATATTTTTTGGACAAGAATATTGATAATTAAATAAAAAGAAATATAAAACAATGAAACAATAATCTATAAATAATAAATATTGTCATATTATCGATACTATTACCGTGCCAATGGGTCTCTTCGATCACAATAGGGACACACGTTTTTTTCACTATTCCATAGAAAAACAATTGGACCTTTTTCTTCTTCTTCTGATGATAATAAGTTCGTTTGATATCATAATTCAACTTTAAACGTATTTCGTATTATCAATGTTCTTGTTATTTAATGAAATGATGAACTAAATATGTATCTAACCGATCGAGAAGAAAAATGTGTTAAAAATCAGTGATGAATGGATAAAATTGTGTGAGAAAAAATGAATGAGAGTGAGAGAGAGAGAGAGAGATAGAGATAGAGAAAGAAAAATAAAAAAAGAGAAAGAGAGATAGAGAAAGATAGATAGAAAGAAATAAAGAAATAGGAGAAAGAAATAATGATAGACGAAGATTGGAAAACGTCATAGGGAAGACGCTAAACTCGAATAAAGGGAAAAACGCGCATTCGTGACGAAGCTCGAAGACCAACTGCGGATCCAGGTCGATCAATAGGGTCGGACCACCCTACTTCATGTTGCGGCAAGCACACGCAACCAAAGACCACGAGCTCTACCTATCTGTTTTATCTAAAGATAATGATTGCGCTTGCGTTCAAATTATTCTAAGGGATGTTTTATAAGAAATAAGAAATAATCATACTCGAAAATGAATACCTTATTTATTTTCACATAAATAAGAATTTTCATATAAATTAAATAAGAAATAATTTGTGTGTATATAATGTGTATGTAATAATTAACACACGTTTCCGTTAAATTATTTTAAATGGATATTATTTAAAACGAAAAAATAATCGTACTAGAAAATTAATAACGATTAATACGAATTTTTATGAATTGAATAAGAAATAATTTGTATATGTAATGTGTATGCAATAATTAACACACGCTTGCGTTAAATTATTTTTATAAGAAATAAGAAATAATCATACTCGAAAATTAATAACTTATTTCTTTTTAACATAAATAAAAATTTTCATATAAATTAAATAAGAAATAATTTGTGTGTATATAATGTGTATGTAATAATTAACACACGTTTCCATTAAATTATTTTAAATGGATGTTTTTAAAACGTAGAAATAATTATGCTCGAAAATTAATACCGATTAATACAAATTTTTATGAATTGAAAAAGAAATAATTTGTATATGTAATGTGTATGTAATAATTAACACACGTTTCCATTAAATTATTTTAAATGGATATTATTTAAAACGTAAAAATAATCGTACTAGAAAATTAATACCGATTAATACGAATTTTTATGAATTGAAAAAGAAATAATTTGTGTATGTAATGTGTATGCAATAATTAACACACGTTTCCGTTAAATTATTTTAAATAGATATTTTTAAAAACGTAGAAATAATTATACTAAAAAATTAATACCGATTAATACGAATTTTTATGAATTAAAAAAGAAATAATTTGTGTATGTAATGTGTATGCAATAACTAACACACGTTTACATTAAATTATTTTTATAAGAAATAAGAAATAATCATACACGAAAATGAATCCGTATTATCTAATTGAATTAAATTTTCGTAGCAATAATTAATATAATAATAATGATGATGATGATTATGATGATGATGATAATGGTCAATTTGAAAATCCTAAATGTTCGGTAATTCACGAGAATAAAATGCGAAACGTGGGAAGACGAGTATAAGATTTCAAGAATAAAAACGGATTGGACAATGAGTAATGCAGAATTTTGTCGTCCTTATTGTCATTATACTCTGCTAAAAAATATAATAACTTTATGTTAGTTGAGCGGACGAACGTATTAAAATTCCATGAATTTACGTAGTCGAATCTATGTATATGTTTCAAACTAGATTAAAACACGTAAGTGCTTCGTTATTCTATTAGCATATGTGTATATCGAATGCTTTGATGTAACAACATCGAATGTTACCCTCTTTTTTAAAAACGTATTTTATAAAATATTATATATTTTTTCTTTTCTTTTTTTTTTTTACAATTTTTTCAATATCATTTAATCCCATTTTTTATAATTCGAATAATTGATGTATTATAACATAAAGTATTTGTTTATTATATACAGAATGTACCAGTTTGTTTAAAAAAAAATCTTACCACCATATTCTATAAGTAAAAAATAAAATATGTTCTTATAAACATAAACTTTCATTTTATAAAATTCATTTAAATATCTTTTTTCTTTTTACAATTTTATATTAAATATAATTCTTATACTTATAAATATCTTTTTATATATAAATAAAATCGTGTATCTTTATATGTATTAAAAAGAATAAAAATAATAATGAATGAAGTGATATGACGCATAGATGAATGAAATGTTTTTTACGAGGTTTATATTTTGAAATATTGACGTTCCCGCCATTGAAGAAACACGTGCGCACATTTGCCGCGTAAGAAAAATTGAATGGGCATGCGTAACCGGAAACGATTTTTTTTTATTATTTTCTAATAAGATGGCGCTAGTAGTAATACCACATTTTCCGGTTAACCTCAAGACTAAAAGATACGTTCTATCTTTTGGCTGCACACCTTGTATAGGTAAGCTCGTCTATTTTATATTATCATTAAATATATAAATAAAATGAATAGTTTATTTTTTATAAAAATAATTTATATTAAATCTTTAATCATATATATTTCAAACCGATAAAATAATGTTTTTATATAAATGTGAAAATATATATATATTTTAATAAGAAATTTCTGTATGTGTGTGGTCGAGTTCTATTGCTAAAAATATCTCATCCATTATTTCTAGATACTTCTACCAAAAGTTTTATTCATTATAAAATAAACAAACATGTCTAAGAAATTAAAAAAGAGACCTATCAATAAAAATATTATGATAGAAAAATCTGAGAAAGCAGATGGTAAAGATTTGTCGTCATCACCTCCAAAGAAACAAAAACTCGAAATAGTTTCTGATACTAATGTAATAACTAAAAAAGCACAAAGTAACGTTAACTTAAATAAAAATAAAAAGGATAAGAATAAAAATAAAAAGGACGTAACTTCTCCTAAAATCAAAGATAACTTGGAAAATGAAAATGATGATGCTCCAACTGTACTGAGTATATCGAGAAAGGACAAACTTTTATCAAAGAAATCGAATAAAGACAAAAATAAGCCACTCTCTAATGAACAAACTACAAAGACTACATTAACTATTGAACAAGTACAAGAAAAAATCAAAGAATTAAAAAGTAGAGACACTTTATCTAAAACAGCTAAGAAAAAGTTAGCTAGTTTAAATAAAATATTGGAAATAAAAAAGAAAGATACCGTAAAAGAATCAAATGACACCAATGATAAAGGTAAAGAATATAAACGTGCTTCTTTACCCAATGGCCATACACTCGTAATTTACGATAATACGACAAAGAATGTTTCAAATAAAAAAGGCAAAGAGAAAGTTGGCAAAGTTGGAAAAGATACAAAATTGCAAACCGCTAAATCTGCCAATAAGAAGAAGTCTAAGGAACAGAAAATTGCTAAACAAGATGAGGATGAGGATGATGATGATGATGAGGAGGAGGAGGATGAGGAGGATGAGAATGAGGATGAGGTTGAGGTTGAGGATGAGGATGAGGATGAGGATGAGGATGAGGATGAGGCTGAGGATGTAGATGAAGAAGACGAAGACGAAGATGAAGATGAAGATGAAGATGAAGATGAAGATATGGAAGAGCCTAAAGTAGAAAAAAAGAAACAAATTCAAGTTAAATCTAAAAAACCACTTAATAAAGTGAAACAAGTAAAAGAGGATGATGACGAGGATGATGACGAGGATGATGACGAGGATGATGATGATGATGATGATGAAAATGAGAAAGAAGAGGAAGAAGAGAACGAAGAAGAAGAAGAAGAAGGCGATGATGATGACAAAAATGAAGATGAAGAAGAAGAAGATGATGATGATGATGATGATGATGGTGATGATGATGATAACGATGAAAATGTAAATGTAAAAACAAAAGGAAAAGGAAAAGAAGGCAAAGAAAAAGAGGCAGATAAAAAATTAAAGAAGAATGAAACTGCAAATAACAAAAACCAACCACCCAAGAAAAAGAGATTTGTTCTCTATGTTGCAAATATACCATACAGGTAAAAATCAGAATTTTTGACAATTATCATCAAAATTATTAATACTTAATTAACATTAACTTAATACTTTTTTTTCTTTTTCTAGTATTACTACAAATGAAGTAAGAAATCATTTTCTAACAAAAGTCAATTCTGTAGCCGATGTTAGAATACCTAAAAAAATAGGCTCCAATCAATCTCGAGGATTTTGTTATGTCGAACTCGAAAATCAAGAAGATTACGAGGTAAAATCTTTGATAATATATATAATCACATTTATATTTCCCCTTTTTTTATTTTTTTTCATGCAATATACTATGTCAACCATTGTTTTTACAGAAAGGACTATCATTGCATCGTTCACTTCTTCAGAACCGAATGTTGACCGTAGAATACACCACTGATTCTAAACGCGATAATGCAAAACAAATCATCACAGCTAAAAACAAAAAATTGGCTGCTCTGAGAGACCAAGGAAAATTAGCTGGAAGTCATAAAAAAACAGACAAGAAGTTTAAGAAAGGATTTAAAAAAATGTAGAGTCATCAACGACATAGAAATATTACATTAGAAACAATAACAAAATATAATTAATTGTATCGAATAACAATCAACCTGTTAAACTTTCTTTTTAATTTCTCAGTAATTTTTACAGTTAATAATAATCATATATATCATATATATATATATATACGTATATCGTAAAATCTGTAAAAGATGGATACTACAAATCTATTATGTTCGATTTGTTTTTTTTTTTATTGAATTGAACGCTTCTAATTTTATACATACAGAAAAGAATATAAATAAATAAAAAACAAAACAAACTTATATATTGCGTGACATACGTCAATTTTGTGTAGATCAAACGAAACGGTGTTAAAAAGAATCATACATTTGATAAAATCGATGTGAAATACGATTCTGAATCTGTTATTAAATTTAGAACGATCAATTATTGTACGCAATAGCATTCCATGTTAATTGAAAATATTTTCAAAATATAATCACGATTAATCGTTATCGTTGATAATATTAATACAAAAAATCATCATATTGTAATATGTCCGATATAAAAGAAACTAATAATATGGATAATAAAAATGATTTTAACGATAGTTACGATTTTGAAGATCTTGTGACGTGGTCGAAGGAAATGATCGAGGTAACGAATGATTTAAAATAAACTAAAAGAAAAAGAAAAAAAAAAGAAATACTCTTCGAGCGGCAATAGATTGACTGATATAATGCATTGCATTTAGTTAATTAAGTAAATTAATTATAATACACATTAATTATATCAATTGTATTTTTTAATTGTTGCAATATTCATTCTTCGTTCGTAAATAACCTAAATAAAATAAAAAAAATATCATTTCAAAGGAAAAATTACCGGAGTCAATGATATTTCCCAACGAATTAAACACATACCTGCGCGAACGTATCCGAGTAAGTATTTAATAATAATATCCATTCCTCTTAAACGTATCACTCTGGGTTGCTTGCAACCAACAAACGAGAAGACGTATACCAGAGAGATGTATATTTTTGGTAGCTCTGAACGACGAGGTATGATGATGAGATTACTACTCAAATTTCTCGTAAAATAGGATTTGACTGCGGAGAACGGTTGTTTGCGTCGTACGTTAGAGGAGACCGAAGAAAAGCTACGAATAACTGAGAAAAGTACTATTAAATCGGAATTACTTATAAATTTAGATAAATCTAACGAATTGGCAACGATCAAGATCACTGAATTGAGCAAGAAATGTAAAGAACAGACTGTTGAAATCGGGGTACTCAAAACTAAGTGTAAACATTTGGAAGATAATTTAGCAAGTAAGATAACCGAATTGGATAACTTAAAAGAAGAGATAACAAATTTTACGAAAAAACAATCGGAATCTGGTAACGGTGAGTATTGTTAGTGTCATCGAAAAATCTTAACTAATTTTTAAATATCCTTATTGCAATAACATAATCGAGATCCAGGATAGTGTATCCTTGACAAAGGTACCGGAGATGTTCAATCTTTATCGAAGGAGAACGAGGATAAGATGAAAATATTAACGGATAAGTTGCAACAAGTTAAAACAAAGCTTTACGAATCTAAAAACGCTTACACGAGTCTCAAACAGGAATTCAACAAAGCTCAAAAGGTAAGATTTTTATTTCGAAGATATATATATTAAAATTGATCTTTAAAATAATATAAGGATAGTTATTGTGCAGGGAAGTTGGTGATAATGTAACGGTAACTGGATTATCCTCGCAATTGGGTGGTTGGCGTGGAAGAGCTGAACAAATCCGAATACTTCAACAAAAGATTGTTGAATTGCAAAATAAATTATTGGAATATGATGGAACTTTGAAAGGATCCTTTGGTAAGATACAGGCCATATTTTTTATCATTTTCACGCACATATATTCCTTCACCTTTATGCAAAATATATATCGAATAAAATAAAATAGTATCCTTGGAACGTAAGAATCTTGCGAACCTTCGGAACGCGGATAAAGAAAGACGAAAACAAATAGAAAATTCAGCGAAAGAACTCAGACAAGCGGAAGTTGCCTTGGAAACGTATAAAAGAAAGCTCGAAGCATCAAAAGCTAGAATTAAAGTACTCGAAAATGAATTGAACGTGACCAAAGCAAACGTAGCCGTGTTGAACGAAAAAAGATCTCACGACGATCATTTGATTGAAACGCTTAACGTTGGTTTATCAATTTAATTATTTATTAATTATCATATTATTGTATATATGCTTTATTTTATTTATCAAATTTCTTTTTATCAGAATCGATTGAAATCCATTGAAAATAAATATCAAGAACGTGAGATAGATATAAAAAATAATGAAGACAAAATCGAACGTGAATGTATTAACGTTAAAAATGATTTACAAGCTGCACAAATACAAATCGATCGATTGACGAGAAAACTCGACGAACGTGAAATAGAAATAGACAAATTGAGGTTGTATACGGATTATTTTTGTTGTTGTTTCCTTTTTTTCTTTGCTTTAATTTATCTTCGATCAAATGAATTATCTAATTATTTAAGAAATTCTTAGAAATGGTCTGATGATACCGGAAGATCAAAAACCACAACGAGTTATTCCACATACTGAAGAACGAAACGTTGTTAACAATTATCATAGAAGTCCTCCGAATACTATTAAAAATTTAAACGAACCTAACGAATATGTTACAATAGCTATAGCTGCAGAAGCTGAACGAGAAAGATTGTTGGAATTGGTAATAGTGTTGAACAGACGATTGGACAAGGAACGAAACGATGCCAACAGTTTAACTGTATTTATATATATGTTTCTCTTTTTTTTTTCTTTCTGTAAAAACAATTTAAATATTTTTAGATAGGTAAACAAATATTTTATCCGTCATAGGAATCACTGAGAAACGAACGATACAAATTGGCTAAATTGGAATCGAAACTTCGAAAATTGGAAAATGAAAGAGCAGGAATTTCAAAAGTGGACAGTGGTTTTTACAGAATCAAAAATTTCAGATCTATATCAGGATCGAAAACGAATGAAGAATTTGCGAATGCTGAACAAATTCGTTTCAAGTATTTCGTTAGATTTTTTTTGGTTTTTTAATATTCGGAGAGAAATCGATTAATTATTTTATTTATCAATTAATAGATTGGAATTACTCGAAGAGGAATGTCTCACTTTGAAAGCAAGATTAAATACCGTGCAACAAGACAAAGCTTCCGATTTGGAAACATATAAACGAATGTTAGATCAAGCTAGAAAAACTTTTCAAGAAGCATGCAAGTATGATTAATGATAATCGATAATTAATACCAAATAAATTGAATTATTTTCATTGTATTCTTTTAGAAATAAACAAACTACCACGCCTGCGAGTCGTTCAACAGTTACCGTCTAATCAAAATTCATATTTCTCATTAAAAATCAATATACTTCGAAGAAACTAATTAAATAAAATAACTATTATTATTATTTTCCACATGTATCTTGAAATCATTCAAATTTTATTATTAGAAAATATTTTCAATGTGATTTGAAAAATTGTATTCAATTTTTAATGAAACGATATATAATTTTTGGATACAATGTTCAATTAAAATTATAAAAATATGTAACTCGATAATACTTTAGTCATATGATTTAAATTGAAATATAAATGTCAAGTTAAAAAAAAGAAACAAAAATATATTAATTACTTTAAATTAATATATAAAACAATTTATCGTATACCATGGAAAAAATAAACTATATTTAAAATGAATATTTAGATTGGAGAATAAGTTTATTTGTATATTAATATATTAGAATCATCAACATATGAAAATAATTGTTCAGAATGAAATAAGAAATCATTGAACGATCTCACTGGAATGATCACGATCAATCTTACAGGTATCACAGGTGTGTATATATATATATATATATATATAATATATATATATCTATAATAGCATGTGTAATCAGGGTAGCAGCAGTGATGTAACTAGGACACGAGATAAGGTGTTACGCATCGTATAAAGTCAGTCCGTGATATCTTAGTAAAAGAAAATTGAAAAACATTTCACGTAGATATCTTTAACAGACAGAACATTTCTAAATCCAACCCCTGTTATTATTTCATTATTCTAAAATTACACGTTCTATCATATTTTAAAATCAAACATTCGAAATCTTCATTGCGATAAGAAATGAAATGAAAAGAGAAAGATAAAAAGAAAGAGAGAGAGAGAGAGAGAGAATAAATAAAGTAAAAGAAAAAGAAAGAAAGAAAGAAACATTTAGGGTGGATGATCTGTGGAGCAGGCGCGGTTGCGAACAACGCGGTTTCGAAGGTTTTTCAACTAACAGGTGCTCGGTTATACAGGTGTTGGCGCTCCTGGCTACTGATAAGAGACGAAACCCGTGACGTCAGATCGGCGCAGGTAGAGTATATGAGCGGACACAGAGACCCGTCCACGTCACTCGTTCTTCTACCTTCGTCAAGTAATTCTCGTTCGTGTGAATCCATTATTATTATTTTTTTCTTCTTCTTCTCTCTCTTTTTTTATTTTTCTTATTTTTATCTCAAATTAAACTTTAAAAGATAAAAAAGAAGAAAATAGTCACATATCAATCAGACTTATATCAACAATTTTTAACAAATTATTATACCGAAAGATTTTTGTTTTTCGATTAACGTACAATCGAAGAGAAAAAAGAAATAAAGAAAGAAAAAAAAAAAAAAAGGGGGAAGAACAAACGAGAGAACGAGAAGTTTGAATCAGTGATCAAGCAAGAGAGAGAGAGAGAGAGAGGGGGTGGTGGTGGTGGTGATGGTCCAATAATATTCAGGTAAGCTAAAGGGTGTTTTTACTTTTGGAAGATTCTTTGAGAGTACGAACACATTGGGAAAGCTAAGAAAAAACGAAGACTATGATTAAAAACGAAGATGAAGATGAAGATGATGAAGAAGAAGGTGGGTCTCGTGCAATTGGTATCGTAGAAGAGAGAGAGAGAGAGAGAGAAAGAAAAAAAAAACTCGTGACCTCGTGTACACGACACGACGCAGCTGGAATTTCGTCGGATCATCAACGGCATTACCTTTTCATGTGTAAATTTCGAGGGATTACGATCAGCAAACCAACCTACCGTCTGCTTCTTTTCGTACACATTTACAATGATGACTACAACGACAATGACGACGACGACGACTACTACTACTATTAAGACGGTTCGACCTTCTATTACTTCGATTATGTAATCGTCATCGGTAAAACACCTTAAAAAAAAAGAAAAGAAAAGAAAAGAAAGAAACAAAAAACCATACCAGACCTAATTTCTCTTCATTCTTATCATTTGAATTACAAATACGGAGTGTATTAATTAAACGGGGGGGAATTATTATCTTGCAAATTTCTTTTCTTTTTTTGTTTCTTTTCTTTCTCTCACTCTTCTTATAATTATTCGTATATCGTAAGAGAGAATGAAATTTTTCATCGATCGATGATATATCATCCTCTTGTCGTTATCATTGTTTTATCCTCTTGAGACAATTTCATTTATTTGATTTCATTTTATTCGCGACTATTATAATATATTTTTTGTATTTTTAATTATTGATCTCTCCCTTAAGAAGGGATGATATCTTTGTTTTTCTTTTTTTTCCTCCCGCCTAATGGTAAATTCTTTTGAGAAGTTTTACGGAATTTTTTGTATATTATTTTTCATTTATTTTTTCACTTTTTTCCACTTTTCTCTGCAAACGTAGACAACGAAAAGAAAGAGATTTTTTTATTGGAATTAAAATGAGATTCGATGAATTTTGCTCTCTCTCTCTCTCTCTCTCTTCGTGCAAAGGAAATAAGATTATTTAAAAAGAAAAAAAAAAAAAATAGAAAGAAAGAAAAACACTGAATATACTATTTTTTTTCTGACTGGGAGAGAGGGTACGGTGGTGGTCACCGGATACGAGTTGTTTTAAGAATGAGTAAAATCGAGCCCGTGTTTATGTTCTTGGTCATTGTTAAACCGATGCAATTCTCAATTGAATGCACGACCACGAGGACGACGACGACGATTATTCGAAATTATTTCGTACGTTGGTATTGTAAAATTGCAAGGCCTCCTCCTCCCCCCCCCCTCCAAAAAAAATATCACAATCGATTGTTCTCAACAGGACAATCATATTCAACAGAAGAAGGTTTTAAAGGAAGCTAAGGGACAAAACACGATTTTCTTTTTCTCTTTTTTTTTTNAAAAAAAAATAAGTCAAGAAAGGAACTATAACAGCTGTTTAACATAAAAGATAGATAAATAGATACTTTCTCGATATTTTTTAATATAATAATATCGATTTATGGCAACACCCATCACTGACCCCACCCCACCCCACCCCACACCCAGATCGGTGTGTGTTTATTACGTTAATTATTCGTTGAAAAAAGAAATAATGTCGATTAATTTACACGCGTGAAATAATAATAATAATAATAATAATAGGGGGTTTGCCACGCATATCGCGAAAAAGATCTTACTCGTGTTTTTTTTCTTATTTTATTTCCTTTTTTTTTATTTTGTACTATGCCAATATCACGAGACTAATTTCTTTTCTTTCAATACGTTTTACGTTAGTTTCTCTTTCTTTTCTTTTTTTCTATAATAAATTAAAGTTCGTTACAATGCCACGTTGAAAGAATTATTAACAGAATGAGAAAGAGAAAGATAAAGATAGATAGAGAGAAAGAGATAGATAAACGAACATACATTTTCTCATTTTATTTTACCTCGGTCATTTGAACTAATCTTAATGAGTTTTTTTCTTTTCTTTTTTTTTTCCTTCTTTAAATTAACGTTTTTTGATTTTTTTTTGTTCTCTCTCTCTCTCACTCTCTCATCGAGAAAAGAAAAAAAATATAATATATATTTGAAAAGAAATATAAAATACGTTGAATCAAATGTGATAGATAATATTTGAAAGTGAAAATAATTTCATATATATATACGAGAAATTTGTAAGAAAAAAAAGAAAAAAAAAGAATATTACGTTAACGAGTATTTTGGGCGATAATAATAAGGCGAATTGATTCGTTATCGCGTTATCGCATCGTCGTCGACTGATAATAGGCAATCGCGACTTCTTTTCGAAGATGATACGACCCGATGAGATTCGTGTCGTTAGACTTTACGTGTATTACAAGAAAGAATAAATTATTATTATTATTATTATTATTTAACTCAAGCGCGCACGATATATCAAATATTCTTCGCGTATGCGTAAAATATTAAATCGTTAACAATTAATTTCTTGTATTTTTTTCCATCTCACTCTCTCTCACTCTCTCTCTCTCTCTCTTTGTTTTTTTATCATGAAATATCTTTTTAAAATTTAATTAAAATTCCATTCAAACACAGAATTTTCTCTTATATATATATATATAGCATTTATAAATTTCTAAATAAAACGTTAAATCATTTTAAATGTTAATCTATATGAGATTGCTCACATACGAGAAAAAAAGTATAATATGATCATAAATTCTTATCATTCTACGAGTTTCTCCTTATATTAGTATTACCCTCGATAATAATGTAGAGATAAAATTGAACCGTCGAATGAAGAAGTAGGAATAGAAGAAAGTTTCGAAAATTTTCAAATGTATCTCGATAACAAGATAAATATGACTTTCTGAAAATAAAAAAAAATAAAAAGAGAGAGAGAGACAGTTTCGTAGCTTGAACAAACATTTGATTAAGAAACGAACGCATACGAACTCGTTTCAAATATGTTGCCCCTATTTTAGAAAATAATCCCAACCCAAAAAAAAATATATAGATATATAAGAGAATAATCGTAAAGTATCTTCCAATAATTCAACACTTATGAGCAGCAAAAAAAAAAAAGGTAACAAAATAAAAAAAAAATAAAACTAATGAAAACGGGAGTGCAGTAGTCTCCTCTCGTTGTTGTAATCATCGTCGTCGTCTTCTTCGTTTTACCCTGTTTAAGCAGTTGCGCTCGTAAGAGGTGAAAATGTCATCTGAGCAAACACCTCAAGGAGTCGCAACTTTTTCTTTTTCTTCTTCTTCTTCATTTTTTTTCTTTTTTTTTTTTTTTTTCTTTAATATCTCTTCATAGTTTGTTCGGGCATTAGTCGATGCGCGATAATTGCGGTTGATTTTGCAAGTAACAAAAGTTATCATATAATTAATATCACATCTCTCTCTTTCGTATCAAGGAAAGATATTTTATTTTCATATCCACGGAAAAAAAAACAAAACAAAATAATTACTTCCACGTATACTAAACAAGAACAAAACAATTTAATCAACAAAAACGAGTATTTTCTTACATAAAAAAAAGGAGAACATATACTATGGTGTGAGTTTATTATATATATTTTTTTTAAATACAATTTTTTA